TGTGGTGCACAGCCCTGGGGATTACATCCTCCTGAGTGTTGATAAGTATGAAATTAAGGTAAGGCTCCTTTCTTCTAGACCAGTGCTTCTCAAAGTGTGGTCCGCGGACCCCCTAGTGATCCGCGAGTATATTGGTAACATTTCACATTTGAAATAAATAAATCAATTTAAGTTTTCCGCACTCTCGCGGGAATATCTCTGCAATGGAGCGAGCTAAAGTTTCACTTTGGATTGCATGATATAACCCAGCGCAACACCTTCATCACACATGTTTCCACTTGTTTGTACCATTTTCAGGCGATTTGTAATCTGTTCTAGAAAAACGATGCAATTTTGGGATATTTGTGGAGTTAGGTGTTTTTTTTATTGGTTAAGTGGTCCTTGGTATGAAACAGTTTGAGAAACACTGCTCTAGACCTTTCTTTCCTTCACTTGTCTTATTGTTCATCATGCGAGCTGCTTTACTGGTAAGCGTGCATCTGATGTGGTAACCCCTGTCCCTCAGGTGTGGCCTTTAGGCAGAGAGATCAACTGTAAGTGTCTGAAGACGCTCTCGGTGTCGGAGGACCGCAGCATCAGCCTGCAGCCCCGCCTGCAGTTCGACGGGCGCTACATCGTCTGCAGCTCAGACATCGGGGTCTATCAGTGGGACTTCGCCAGCTTCGAGATTCTCAGGTAGGATAGGAAACATCTCTGAGATCATTTAGGGACAGCACCTGCTCTGTAGCTTCTCAAAACAGCTCGTTCTTCTGTGTACCTTTAGCTTTGTAGCACCTGAAGATTCAATTCAAGATTATTGTCATGTGTGCATAGCTACAGTGTAGATATGACAATGAAAATCTGAGGTCACTCCAACAGTGCAACACAATAAAACAGATAATAGTGCAAGTAAATACAATAAAATAGAATATAATATAAATAGTGCAGTGTCTATATACAAGTAATTGGAATATGATATATTAGATAAATTGTTTTAAGTTGCAAATAATGCAGAAACTATGGCTATAGTTAACGAAAAAAAAATGTATTGGTCGACGAATTGTGTGTGTATTGCAATATATTGAAATAGATTATACTTGAATCATATATGTCTCAAAGCAGAACAGATTTCGACATTCATATTATTTAGAAATGTTATGAACTGTGGAAGCTGTCACAGCGGGAGGGTGCTGCAGGTAAATACATAGAATAAAGATTGAGATATATTTCGTTTATTTTTACCTTGTGTGTATCCTGTTTTTAACTCTGACCCTGTTGCTGTTATAAACGCCTGAACTTCCCCAAGGGGATAAATAAAGTTCCATCTTATCTTATTGTTGTGAAAATAGTGAATGTCCTCTTCCAATATCAGAGTCACGTGATAACAAAGGTATCCAACTGTAGCTGTGAACATGACAGGATGTATGATTACCCAGAAGAGCATCAGGACTGTTTGAGGCATATGATAGCTATGTGATTAACATGATGATTCAGCCTCTATGGAGAGAGACATATGACAAGCATGCTCATTTCTGACGTGGAGCTAATCTGAAGTAAACATTGAATACTGCTTTCTATTTGTATATATTTTGAGAAAAAAGTCAGAATTTTGAGATTTTGAGAAAAAATACATAATTTAGAGAGAAAGTCTGAATTTAGAGAAAAAGTTAAAAAAAATTGATTTTGAGAAAGTCAGAATTTTGAAAAAGTCAGAATGTTGAGATTTTGAGAAAAAATACATAATTTTGACAGAAAGTCAGAATTTTGAGAAAAAATCAGAATTTTGAGATTATGAGAAAAAAGTCAGATTTTGAGAGAAAACTCAGTAGGCCTATTTTGTACATGACAGAGATGATTGATGATTACAGAGAAGAACCGGTATTCCTCCATCTTGTGACTGTGTAACTCCCTCTCTTGGATATCAGCATGTGAAGGACACTGTTCAGGAACTAGTTGATGCTCTGTATGTGACGACTACTTCCATTCTGGAGAGGTTCAGAAATACATGGATCCTGATATTGAAGCTCAAGCCGGTGACGAGTGATATTTTTCTAACAATGATCTTATCTCGTGTCCTCAGGGTGATAAAGACGCAGGACCCGGCCAACCTCTCCCTGCTCAGTTTCGGCGAGGTGTTTTCGCTCCTCTTCGACAACCACTTCCTGTACGTGATGGACCTGAGGACGGAGGCCATCTCGGGCCGCTGGCCGCTCCCCGCCTACAGGAAGTCCAAACGGGGGTCCAGCTTCCTGCCCGGCGTCACCTCCTGGCTCAACGGCCTGGACGGGGACAATGACTCTGGACTGGTGTTCGCCACCAGCATGCCGGACCATAGCATTCACTTAGTTCTGTGGAAGGAGAACGGATAGAAGCCACTTGAATCTACAGACTGCTAGGACCAGAGTGTGTGCTCTGTGATACGAACCTACAACATGCATGGACCAAAGCATTTCGTTTTTAACTGTTTCTTCCTCTACACACAGACTCACACATGGAAACTGGATCTGATGGGCTCCTTGTAGGTCTTCTAAACTTGGACGAATAACTTGAAAAGATAAATCGGCACCAGCAAAACCTAAATTCCAAAATAAACCACACTTTAATTATAATGTAAAATATTTTAAGCGTAACTGTTTCTGGCAGATTTGTTAGCATTGTGTGGGGAGAATAATCTGAAGCTGACTTTAATCCATGGTTTAGTCATTTAGGATTTTTTTTATCAGGATGAGACACGTTCGATAACATCTTTTAAAGAAAAGCAGGCTTGCCTTAAACACAGTTACTGTAAATAAAGGAGACCACTTCCTTTGCCATCAGATTTTGACCCTAAGGTAAAATATCATCCAGGTTTTTTTTTCTTCCAGAGGAGCCCGAGGACGCTGTGTTCTGATTGGTGTGTCGAGTGGTGTGGTACATTGTCGTGTACCATGTGAAATATTGTGAGGTCCACTGAATACACTTTTCTACGGGACTGGTTTCAATGTCGGCTTGAGAAATGTGACGTGCCTTTTTCAGTTCCTTTGATGTTACGAAGTAGGCTTCCTACCCTGCGTTGTGAATCTTTTAAGTTGATTTGTTCACACTTACTGTTCTCTAACAGTCTGAGATGTCTGTAATTTTATAGTTATCTACCTGACACGACTCGCACATTGCTTTTATGAATCATCGACTTGTGTAAAGCATCAGGTTTATTTTTCTAAAGCTGAGGACTTGGCGAGCGTTTGGTTCTCTGCAAAAAGACGATTTTAGACTTGGATGAGTGGATTTCCTGGCACGACAAAAGAAACTGTGAGCACGCCTCGTCCTGTGCATCGACATCATGTCACAATTCTTTTTTTTCTGCTTCTACTAAACTGAAACTCCTCAGGGTTTCCCCAGAGTGTGTGTTGATGTCTTCCTTTGCATCGGGCAGATCGACGCGGATCGAACCGTCCACCAAACCTCAGAACTTTGTCCTGAACACAGACAGTAACACCCAGACGTAGGCCTACAGACTGTTCGTGGGGTTAGGTTTTTCAAATCTAATTAAAACACCACCAATATTATATTCTCCTCTGTTTTCTGACCATTGCACCACATTATATTCTGTTATATACAATTCCTGCAGTGCATTGTCACGTGCAACAGCTCGATGTTAGGGTGGAGTTCAGTCTCTGATTCCGTAAGTACACTGGTTTAATAAATTGGCATGTATGTTTTTAGGTGTTTTTACACTAATTTATGCCTTTTGGATTTACTTTAACACTTCTATTTTATGGGTACGGTTCAAACCCTCCTGTTGTCTTCGGGTCAAATCTGACCGATTTACTACTTTCATCCATCATAACTTTTTTGTTTTACATTCGATTGCATCAAGGCTTTATGATATCCTTCACAGTAGACCACTTTCATTGCATTTTGGATGATTTAGTCATCTTGGTGATCCCGGTCAAAAATGACTGCCATAAAGAAAAGGAATTAGTAACCATCTGGATCAGATACACACACATACTCTAGATGTGTTCCCCCCCCCTTCTTATGTGCCCAATCTCCCCTTGTGAATCACACCTGGCACACACACACACAGAATTTGACACATTTCCCGCTCTTATGTGCCCCTCCCCCCACATGGATCAAACCTGGCACACGCAATACATGTTCAGTGTCTATTCTTTGTTCACTGCAGTTCTTCATATATACCAGTAGTCTGATACAATATTTACAGTTTGAAAGGGTGTTAAATGAAATTTGGTTATGGTTTTTGTGTTAATGTAATAGCAGTTAAAACAGGACCGGTCAAATTTGACTGCGGACACCAAAGTAAGGGGGGGGAAAACGAAGACAATAGGAGAGTTAAATAAAAGCAGGGTATACAACAGGGTGACAACATAAGTCATAAGAGGTAAGATTAACTTTTTCTTGTTTATCTCGTTTGATAGGAGGTATTCTCTCATTAAGGAATGTATATAATCTCATACTTTGAATTATTATTATTATCCAATCCATAAAACAGTCATCGTACTCTGCTGGGACTAGAGGTGGGAAAAGAACTCAGATCTTGTACTTGAGTAAAAGTAGAAGTACTCAGATCTTGTACTTGAGTAAAAGTAGAAGTACTCAGTTCTTGTGCTTGAGTAAAAGTAGAAGTACTCAGATCTTGTACTTGAGTAAAAGTAGAAGTACTCAGATCTTGTACTTGAGTAAAAGTAGAAGTACTCAGATGTTGTGCTTGAGTAAAAGTAGAAGTACTCAGATCTTGTACTTGAGTAAAAGTAGAAGTACTCAGATCTTGTACTTGAGTAAAAGTAGAAGTACCAGAGTGTAGGAATACTCTGTTACAGTAAAAGTCCTGCAATCAAAAATGTTACTCAAGTAAAAGTAGAAAAGTATTATCATCAAAATATAGTTAAAGTATCAGAACTACCACTGACTGGGACCTAAAAACGTAGTATTCGTGATACAGTTTATACTGGACAGATACAATAATTAGAATTTCACTTCAGAGTCTTAAGATATTAAACAAGCATGTGCTACAATCCCAACATGTTCAACTGTTTCTTTAATTATACATATTTACTGAAGTGGTAGTCTTCAAATAGCGTGTGAAATAAAAAACGTTGAATAAAGTGTACATCAACAGCAAAGTGACATGACGGCAACATGTTTGTTTACACTCATCGTAAAAGTAATGCAGTAATATCCATCAATGCAGTACACTTTGTTCAGCTCGTCTGCAATAATAAAATAGTACAATACTTAATAAAAACCAAAACACAGGCTCAGTAATTCACAGGTGATGAGTGTAAAGTGTGCACATTTTATGGTCTATTTTACTGGATGGAAATGATATTCTACTTTCACAATAAGAAGAAATGTGCTGTGGTTTCAAAAGGACCACATGGTGTGTTTTCTCCCCAGCAACCATTGGTTTTCATTGTTATTTTTTAAATGAATTAGCAAAGACTTTTTCGGGTTATGCAATTCCATTTTTTCTGCAATTTATACCCTTCATACACACTCGGATAAATCAAAATAGGCGAGTTTCAGCGGGCTGCTAATGGATTTTCTGAAATGAGCTGTTCGATAAATGATAAGACTTGTATTGAATGGGCTTAATCACAGCTGTGGTCCTCTTCATATTAAACACAGCCTTCATGACTGAATCACACAACATTTGGACTAGTTGAAGAAATGTTAAAAGTTGTCCACATTTTTTTTTAAGTCAAGGACAATACATGAATGAAAAACATCAAAATTATGAAATTCTTTACTACATGATTACACTTGACAAGTACTGTAATTGTTTCTCAATCTTCTTTTTGCAATATTTTAAATAAATGACTGACAGTTACAACAGGGAAACATTAGAAATATGGCATTAGTTAATTAGTTATTCTCCATTGAAATGTTTCTACTCTTAAAAGGACCATTCAGGTTTATCACAACTGGGATCTTAGCTTCATATCATCAGATAGATTGGAAACAAACCAACATATTAATCAGATTATCTTGAACCCCTTTGTTTCCCGATGCATCCTTAAAGGTTGTTAATCTTAAAGAGGCCCTATTTCTAGTTTCATATTGGTATGTAGTGTCTCTACTGTGACATGTCTCCTTGCTTTAATGTTTAAAAAGCTCTTTATTTCTCTCATACTGCCTGTACCTCTTTTCACCCTCCGTCTGAAACCAGGGCCCAGTCTGCTCTGATTGGTTAGCTGGCCGGCTCTGTTGTGATTGGTCAACCGCTTAGATATATCCCGCCCCTTCGCCTTTCACGTACAATGTGTTGGAGCGCTAGAGAGTGTTACAAAAGGATGTCACCACCTCTCTCTCTGTCATTTGTGAGTCCAAACTTCTTCAAAACAATCCAAGTTGTGATAAACAATTACCCTTAAAAAAAAAAATGCAATGCTGCTTCTGAAGCAGGTTATTTACCAACGTCTTCCCTCATTCCTTCATTTTGAGTGTTAGATTGGTGAATCGAATATAATGTTTCCCTTTTATGGCCAACTGTCAAAAAATAAACTCTTTTACAAATAAAAACAGTATTTACACCCACCCAAAGTATTGTACTTCATTGCTTAGAAACAGCTGGCTCCTCTGATTGGCTACTGATTGTAATGATCACCTGGTGTTGAGATTTGTTCTGTAGAAAATGTGACTCGTTGCTATTTGTAAACCTTGTTGAACAGGAGGACTACCAGCTGAGGTAGCGAGGGGGGGGGGGGGGGGGTGAGTGACCTTCAGGCTCTAAAAGCCCTCTTCATGCTTCCCTAGTGTTTACGTACGACTACTAATTCTACGATTTATGAACATGTTCAGTCTGTGAGTCACAGGGCTGAAGGTGATGAAGACTCCTCCTCTGCTCTTCCACCGTGATAATAAAACCGTCACATTTTCCGTAGGTTCACAAGTTTGGGATGCGTGTCGTTTCCTACTCTTTTTCCCGGTATGATGAAATGCAGAAATAGATTCACAAATGTAACCACTCGATTAAAAGTGGTAAGGGGTTTCTGTGTTAAAACCCCGAGCTCCATGGAGAGGCTGTATAACACTGGTCTGCTCCTCATCCTCCCCCAAACAGAAACCCAACATGGGCCAAAAAACATACGCTGTTCACATGTTTTAAGCAGCATAACAAAGTCCTCCATTAACTCAATTTGTCCACAGTTCACATTTAATTTAGTCCTGGTAAAGAAAGAAAGCAGGTGTTGGCGTACACAGTCACGTATCCAGCTTCTTCATCACTTCTTCATCATCATCACTTCTTCATCTCTCCACTGGGGTCCATGTTTGAGTCTCTGCTTCCCTAACCCCATGAGTTTGGCACATTAACGTCCCGCTGGTTGGAGTCTGCTCTCATTCAAATGACATGAGGTTTGCTGGTATCTGTGGAAAGAAGAGCATACATATTTAATATATATTAAAAAAAAAGAAGTTTCCTTATTTGGAAGAATTGGAAAAAAACAACATTGTACATAATTGTATTTCCTTTTCCTGATGATTCAACCCAAAGCAACAATAAGTGCAATTAACCACGAGGAGACTACCTCAGGACAGCAAGAGTGCTGCAGATACATTAGCGGCAAATAAGCCAAACCTTTTAAGTGCTACGACCAGAAATACAAAAAACTAAAATCCATTAGTAATGCAGTCATGGAGGCATAAGGTTCTAAGGAATTGGACAATTAGGCTGGGGGGGAAATGCATCCAAAGTTTAACAAATAACTCAAATATTTGTAGGCTTTTACTTTTCGATTTTATGTTTTTTTCCCCATTTGCAACAAAATATTAATGCAATATCAGGCTATATCATGACCATATAAGGCTCTTTTGGCAAACCTGTATATATATATATATATATATACACTGAACAAAAATATAAACGCAACACTTTTGTTTTTGCTCCCATTTTTCATGAGATGAACTCAAAGATCTAAAACATTTTCTATAAACACAAAATAACCATTTCTCTCAAATATTGTTCACAAATCTGAAAAAATCTGTGATAGTGAGCACTTCTCCTTTGCCGAGATAATCCATCCCACCTCACAGGTGTGGCATATCAAGATGCTGATTAGACAGCATGATTATTGCACAGGTGTGCCTTAGGCTGGCCACAATAAAAGGCCACTCTGAAACGTGCAGTTTTGCTTTATTGGAGGGGTCTGGGGGGGTCCAAAAACCAGTCATTTGTGAACAATATATATATTCAGCAGATACAGAGAAACCTCAGCTTCCATAATGAGTCATGTGTCTGGTGAACATATGAATTAAAGTTATTTTGTTATTTAACGGTGAACAGGAACAGGAATATTGCTGAGAGTAAAAGAGGATGACTGACACCTTTATATTTCTGGGCTTACCCTGGACCTTTTCTTAAAGGCAAGACATTGCTGAAGAAGGATGAAGTCATTTGCCGTCTGCACTGCAACTTTGATATGATGAATATATAAAATACTATTAAACAATGGACTACAAACTTTGTAAATGCCTATAACATGTAACCCACTACATACATCATTGCCACGTTGCCCATATCAACATCTTGTAATTAATGTCTTTAAATGTCAATTAAGAATAAGTTGCAGACACCTCAGTTTGTTTATTTAATTTAAAGTGAGAAATAAGTGTAATAGTGGAAGATCTGCGAGTGTGTGTGTGTGTGTGTGTGTGTGTGTGTGTGTGTGTGTGTGTCCTAGCATTACTATACTTGTGGGGACCTAAATATGTTTACACAGTCACGTGTGGGGACTCACCTCCCTTATGGGGACACATTGGAGGTCCCCATGAGGGGAATCATTCATTTTAGGGTGAAGACTTGGTTAGGGTAAGGTTAAGGGTTAGGCATGTGTTGGTTATGGTTAAGGTTAGGATAAGTCTCCAGGAAATGCATGTAAGTCAATGTAATGTCCCCTGAAGTGATGTATACATGGTATGTGTGTGTGTGTGTGTGTGTGTGTGTGTGTGTGTGTGTGTGTGTGTGTGTGTGTGTGTGTGTGTGTGTGTGTGTGTGTGTGTGTGTGTGTGTGTGTGTGTGTGTGTGTTAACCTACCTCAGGTCTGCTGCTCCGACACGCCTCCTCCAGGTTTTTGTGCCAGATGATGGCTGAGAACCTGGATCCTGTCTGGAACTTGTAAACATTTCCTGTGAAGAGACACAAGTTGTGATTCTCTGATGGACACAGGAAGGAGCAGGAGCTGTATGGGGGGGGGGGAGCTGACCTTTGTCAGGGTCGTTCAGCTGGAAGATGTTGGGTCTGGCCGGGTTGTCTGGCAGCACCACCATCCACCCCGTCACACACACCTTCTTACAGGGGCTGGACTTATACTGGGGCAAAGACATGAGCACAGGAGTCAGAACTACACACACTGTATCTGAATGAATACAGAGGGGTGAATGGTACTGATATGAAATGATAAAGTAAAATACAAATAAAATAGAAATAGTGCAATAAGAGTCTATACAAGTGATACATCATTTGTAAGTTGCAAACAGGTGATTGTTATGGATGTCCTAGTTCAGGTGTTTAACAGTCTTATGGTCTTAAGTCTAAAGGACTGAAAGGCATGAAAGCAAACTCACATGTTTTCTCTCAGAGGCCCTCAGAGCTTTGGCCCCAAAGAAAGTCAGAGTTGATCCAGACAGAGTGATCCAGAATCTGGTCCACGAAGACAACTGCGACAAAACAAAAACATGATTCTGAAAACATCTCACTCACTTTTGTCAGAAAATGTATTTAGTTGATTTGTTTATAGTGTCGTGGACAGCCCATTGACCAACTGTCACACAAAACAGTAAATGGGGAAGCTTTAGCCAACATTGCTAATTTCCAGCTGTTGTCCAGATGATAATAGACAGCTTTTTAAAATCACAATACATCAACAGCATTAGTTACAGAACAATACAATGCAAACATTCCTACATACATGTCACAATCACACAACAGAAACTACATCCATGATCACAACATGTAACACACATGTCCAACACAGACTAGTGTGTGCAGGTGTAGTTCTCAGTGAACCATGTTTTGACACGAGCTGTAAAGGTGGTATGTGCATGTATGTTTCTTTGTTCACATAGTCAACCGTATTCGAGAGAAGTAGCTTGAATCTCAGTGAAATCTAAATGTACCTTGGGTTTGCGCCCCTCCTTCAGAAGGGTCTTCCTCCTCAGCGGTCCTTCAACAGTCACGTTGTCCTCCTCGCTGCAGCCGTAGCAGGAGTTGGCAGCGGAGGAGCTGAAGTTGTTGGAGAGAGGAGAAGAGATGCAAACACAATAAAACATAAATTCAATTCAAAACCTTTATTTATCCAGGTAAAATCCCATTGAGATCAATGATCTCTTTTTCAAAGGAGACCTGCAAAAAAAATAAGAAGAAGCCTTATGCGCCATAAGGACAATGTTACTTTAGCATCAAATGTTTTACGATAGAAGGATCCAGGAAGTCCTGTTACTAGGGATGTAACGATACTAAAAACTCACGGAACGATAATATTGTGATAAAAAGTCCACGGTACGATATTTATCGCGATATTGAAAAATAAAGGAAAAAAATGTGAATTTTTTTTTTTTTTTTTTTTTAAAACTTGAATTGTTTTTCTTTATTAAATAATAAATCTAATTTGTACAGCATTTTAGTAGGATAGTAGTATTTTAAAGTGTCAACAATATAATAATCAGACCCTGAATAAATCAAGTTTCACTTTAGTTTTTCACTACTTGCTTCCATGTTGGACAGGTCTCTCTTGAAAAAGAGATCGATGATCTCAATGGGACCATTTGGTTAAATAAAGGTTAAAAAAAAAAAAAAAAAAGTTTATTATTAAAAAAACTTTTTTTAAATCGCGGTAGATTTTGTCAGTCTTACGACGGGATTGAGACATTTATTTACCGCGATATCGAGATATTTGATATATCGTTATATCCCTACTTGTTACAGATAACCATGGAACAAAAAGTAGGAGCATGTCTGGTTCAAATGATATTATTATTATATATCCTTAGTACATATAGTCAATCTAAAACATCCGCATTGACTCTAGTCGAGTTACATAAATATACTCACAACTAATATAGGACTAAAAACAACATGCAGAGGGCGCTACATTTCATTATGGGCCACATACAGACATGTGAATCTTCAATAAGGCATGATAACAATAAGCAATTGACATTAAGTAAAAATGTATGTATTGCTAAAAACTAGCATCACATTTCTGATATGCTTTAAAATGTGATTTTTTTAACATTTCTAGCAGGTTTTATCTGCTTTAGATTTGTTTTTATTTGTGAACTGACAATATAGAGATGTAGGAGAATACTAGTTTACTCATGTACCCGTAGCTAGTAAGTGGAATCTACAGCTCAGTAAGTAGAGTCAAAAATGACGGATGAGGTAAGTAAAACACATGAGTCTAACTCTTATCGCTAGGGAGGGGTATCGTTAAGGTTTTAACGGTAGTACTACTTTTATCGATACCGCTTATCGGTCCGGTCTTTTAACGGTACTACTACTTTTATCGATACCGCTTATCGGTCCGGTTCTTTAACGGTACTTTTATCGGTTCTTTAGGAGAACAAAAAAAGGTAAACTAACTAAACACATTGTGAACAAAACTAACATTGCTTTTTATTTAAATTAAATACATAATATTTCATATCAAAAGAAACAACAATGTTGTAACAAACCGTATTAAATAATGTGATGACAGAACTGTGAACAGAATAGCTGAAACTTTAACAAAATAAATAACTCAGTTACCTCTAATCATTAACCCATGTTTGTATCATGGAGTTAACTCTGTGTGTTGCTGCTAGCATACATAACACCTGACGTGGAAACGTTACTCGTGGACGGGGCTACAGAGCTGCTAGAAAGACAGTCGAACCCGGTGCATTCCTCCGTCTGAATGTGGAGCACTTTTGATAAATGTTTAGACAAACTGCTCGTGTTACCGCCCTCACATGCTAAACTCTTATTGCACTTTTGGTAAGCATTGTCCACATCGAGACGGGTAAAGTTTAACCACCTCGGAGCGCGTTCTCTCCGCCATCTCCTCAGTGTGTGTGTGTGTGATGTAGCAGCTGCGTGTGTGTAAACTGCCCCGCCCCCTTGCAAGCAGGCGGGGGAGAGAGAGATCTCTCGCCTGGATTGGAAAGATCGAAAATACTAAAACTAGACGCATCATAGACGCATTTTGCAGTATTAGAAATGGAGTTGGCGACACTAAAACTGCAATATAATGTTTGTGTAGCAATAATATATATGACATATATTTTTTACATGTCTCCAGTACCGATAAAAAGGCCGCTAACGTCGGAGCTTAGCGGTACCACTGTCTTTCATAATTCTGCCCCGGTATTATCATAATTGAATACCGGGGCTCGGTACCCATCCCTACTTATCGCCCCATGAAGGTGAACTCATTCTTATTTGAAGAACTCTCCCTCTCACTGACCTGTAAACATAGCTGCGGCTCCGGGGGGAGTTTCGGAGAGGGACCCTCCAGTTGGGGCCCAGTGTGGCGTACATGCGGCCCCTGTTTGACACATGGTGAGAGAGTATTAGCAGAACTCCTCAGTGTACTATATATTCATTTGTCATTTGAAAGATGGATTAAAATGGTTATATGTGATGTTTTGCTCTCACCTCTCCATTCCAGGAGACAGCTCCTCCCCAAAAGAGCTTTCACTGCTGCCTGTTATTAAAAAAACAAACACAGGACAAGATTATTCTTTAGGTCTCATGTTTTTGAGAAAAAAAGAATAAAGCACAGAGGGTTAAAGTTATTCATGCAGCATAAAGACACACACTCTAACCGTATAGATAAATATATGTGATAATGGTACAGTATACGTACCCATGGACAGGCCGTTGGACACAGAGTTGCTGTACGGGTCGTTCCTGGCCGGGCTGTTGGACTCTAAGAAGCTGTCGTCCAGCAGGTGGCGGGCTTTCTCGATGGGAAACGTGGCGCTCCTGCTCTCTGACATGCCGTACTGACACATCATACTGCACACACACACACACACACACACACACACACACACACACACACACACACACACACACACACACACACACACACACACACACACACACACACCACACACACACACACACACACACACACACCACACACACACACACACACACACACACACACACACACACACACACACACACACACACACACCACACACACCACACACACACACACACACACACACACACACACACACACACACACACACACACACACACAACACACACACACACACACACACACACACACCACACACACACACACACACACACACACACACACACACACACACACACACACACACACACACACACGTTGAGAGCTTCTTGTTCTCCTTTCACTTTTCATATTTTATTAAATTAGATCAGACTCCACTTTCTTGATGTTGCACAGAGTACTGGGACAACGAAATGCAGCTAGCATTTGTGAGAGAATCATTCAAATGTGCAGTCTATATGCATAATGTAATACGACCTTAGAGCATAGTAGGTATAACCACTCTAGTATAAATACTGAATACACTATAGAGGTAGGGGAAATACTTAAAGTCTAAAACATCTTGTACTCCTCCTGGTGTATACAACATTGTAGACATTTTGGATAGGTTTAGTATATAATGCTTTTATGCCCCCTTTTCATTTGTTTTGTATTGTTGTTGTTGTAGTTCTGTTTCTAAGCATAACATGTTTAAATGTACGTTTAATAAAAATGTTTTACAAGCATACAGAGATGATGAGGAAGGCGCACGTAGTAGTGCTCATGTGCTTCACCTCATTAAACACTTCCTAACTGAGAGTGTGCAGGTCAGACTTTAACATAAGGTTAGATAGATAGAACTCACTTGTTCCCCAGACTATGGCTCTTCCTGTGGTGAGAGGGCGGGGGGGTGGGGATCCGAAGCCCCACAGAGGTGTCAGGGCAGGTGGGCCGCCGGCTGTACCTCATGGAGGCCGACACCTCAGACAGACCTGGAACACACAAACAATCACACTGACTTACTAAACAATTACATTTGAAAATATTACAACAGTACAAATATATACAGTAGTGCAAAACTGTCCATAGCAGCTTGTGCGTGTGTGTGCGTGTGTGCGTGTGTGTGCCTGTGTGTGTGTGTGTGTGTGCCTGTGTGTGTGTGTGTAATCATGTTGATGTTGCAAATGAAGGGGCCGTGATGTTGGAAATAAGTGACATTTGTCGTATATCATATCAAGGTCTTTTTAAAGTACCATGAATATCATGTCGACTAGGAGAAGTGCTCCGACTCACGCACGCGCACACACACACACACACACACACACACACACACACACACACACATACACACACACACACACACACACACACACACACACACACACACACACACACACAGCTGCATGTGATTGTGTCTGCTGGCTAGCTTCGTGGGGAAACTGATAATGTGGTAAGGAATGTTCTCTGTTTCGAACCTTTCCCACAAACAAGAGGAAAAAGTTTATGCATCCGTAATTTGGAAATCACGAAACATATGTGGTAAAGTCGAATTACAGGAACCCGTGATAAAGAGTTCCCCTGCCTCACAACGCCTTAATCACTCCAATATTAGCTCGTTAAGACACACGCTAGTTCATGGTGGCTAAAGCTAGCATTCTGCACGCTCAGCAGAAGAGCGCCCGGTTCTGAATACCTAATAAAACGTTTCAAATTGGGAATCAAAACGGGACATGTCCCTGCTACTGGAACCAGGATATCCAGAGGTGGGAAGTAACAAAGTATCCTTACTGTACAATTTTGAGGTACTTGTACTTAACGTACTTCCATTAAGTGCTACTTTATACTTCTACTCCACTACATTTAAAAAGAGAAACAATATAATAACAGCTCTAGCAACTTGCACACAATGCATATCTAAAAATGCACCTCTTTAAGTCACAAAAGAGTCCAATTGTTTACATATTTTACTTTGTTTATATACAACAGTAAAATGCTACCTGATGTCACATATATAAATATAATTATATACATTCTTCTGCACAATAATTACTTTTACATCTGTATACCTTAAGCACATTGTGTTAATAGTACTTTTACTTAGGTAAGTAAGTATTTTGAATGCATGACGTTCACTGTAGTATTTTGACACTAATGTATTGGTACTTTTAAGTAAAGCATTTGAATACTTCTTCCACCTCTGCTGATTTCTCTCGTATTTAACCATTTTGACAAATGTTATTATAGAGGGAACCTCAGTAAACACTTCTGTAGCGTCCTAAAGTCTCATCAAAATGTCCGATATAAAATCCATGATGGCTTCTAACCCATCCGTCCATATTTACACCTTACACACTCATCCAAACCAGCCTACTCTCTTCAATAATTATTTGAATAAACCGGACTCTTGGACAGTCTTCAAGTAGATAAGATCTACAGTTCCTCATTGCTAGAAAGCTCCAAACTGGGCACTGGGCGTCACCTCCACCCAGCTAACATTATGACATTATGATTATGAAATATTGCTGCAGTGAGACTGGGTTAGCCGCAGTGATTGGCTGTGGTCAGCTGTGATCGTTTTCTCTACTCACATGTTGGTTAAATGTGGAGGTAATTTAAGAGACATATATCCACCCAGTGCCTTTTTCCTCTTGTCTTTGTCTGTTTTGTTGCTTTGAGCTTTTGTTACTCGTTTTAACGACATGTATTTTACCTGACGTTTGTGTAAACTCGCCTGCTTCTGAAGTTGCGTTTCGAGTCCATTCTGTCTGCACTGCAGTGACAGTTCAACTAATAGTATTAATAAACACTAAATAGGTGATTCCAATAAACAAGTTTTTAAGTTTTTAATCAGTGTGTGTCTTACCTGCCAGATCTTCTTTAGAGGAAGCGATGCGAGGGGAACTGTTGCCAGGTTCAATCTTTAGAGACAGCCTGCAACACAAAGGGTTTCGTCAGTTTGATTACAGTCAGGGAAGGGTAGTGGTGGTCTAATGGATAAGTGAGGTGAAGATCGGAAGGTTGTGAGTTCAAATCCCGCCTGGATCACCACCACTAGTATGCCCTTGAGTAAGGCGCTTAGCCCATAGTTACTCCAGGGAGAATGTCCCTGTAATTGGTCATTGTAAGTCGCTTTGGATAAAAGCGTTAGCTAAATGAAATGTGAATGTGAGGAAAGGATGCAGAATGAAGTGAAGGTTGACCGAGTTTTTAGGGGATGTCTTGGTTATTTTGGAGCTTACTTGAAGTTGTCATCCTCTACAAACTTCTGGAGTTCCTCGATGTAGCGAACTGACAGCAGATACTTCTGGACATGAGGCAGAGTCACCAAGTAATCTGAAGGAACAAAGGATAGGAGATAAAACACTCAATCTGAGCATTGACTCAGTGATGATAGACACACAACATTTACAACTAGAAGTAGAATATAGTGAATACAAACGTCATGAAGGAAGTGAAATATATACAGTATTATGGAACGTTTCTGGATTAAGATGTCTAAGAACGAATACACCTATTCAATTCAATTCAATTAAATTCAAAACCTTTATTTATACAGATAAAACCCATTGAGATCATAGACCTCTTTTACAATGGTGACCTGCTTCAATTAGTTCCAAACATTAATACAAACATGACAGAAAACAAAGGACATTATATGATACTACAGTTTGTATACTAGTAGCATTTACAGACACCAATATTTTCTGATTGTATAGCGTCTATCCTAGCTTTAAAAACATGAAATGGAATCAAACTGCTTAGCTTCCATTCCTTTTGTAGACTGTTCCATGCTAGCGGCGCTGCGCATCTAAAAGCTGTATTTCCTAATACAGTCCTAGCAGTTGGCACATGTAATACAACCACAGCTTTAGATCTCAGGCAGTAGCCATTTACAATACGCTGTGAGATCAGGGAACAGATGTAAGACGGAAGTTTCCCTAACATTGCTTTATAAATAAAAAGATCCAGTGATTTAGCCGTCGTACAGTAAGTGAAAGCAACCCTGCCCTTGTATACAGGGTACAATGATGAGTCAAAGTCTTACAGTCTGTCACAAACCTATGATTTGTCATGCAGTTTTTGGTGCTTTTAAACTGTATTTTAACCGGATAAGGGATTTATCGGACGTCTTGAAACAACCTGAGTAAACTTTAGCTTGTATTCCCTATGGCCTATGTTAACCGGGGAAACTCAAATCTTTAACAAGAAACTGCCTTATTCTGTGTTTTTAAGCTTTAATAAGTAGGTGTGCTTGTTTTAGAGAGTAGGAGACCTCTGCTGATAACTTGGCTTCTGGTAAAACGATGCCTGATCGACGGCATATTGAGTAATCAGAAGAAAAAGCTGAAGACCCTTTAACTCGCAGTGGCTCCAATGCTGCTGATTCAGTGCTTTGACCAGCTGTATTCATCAGGCCTGTTTGTCTTGGACAGAAGAAGAACCCATGCAAATATATCATTTTAATATGTTTGCTATACAGGAAAAGGAACCTGCATGTGTTTCATATAAACTGGCCTGACTGCAGGAAATGGTGTGTTCAGTCAAAAAGCCTATTTTAACCACAAGCATGCTCATTTATTCCAAAGTATGAGACAGTTCATGTTCATCACATTCTGTTATCATGTGATGATGGGCACCTTGTAGTTCTGAGGATTAACACCTGAGGAAGTTCCTCCTGCCGAAGGACGACGTTGAAGACTACCGACATGATGTTTCAATAGTATGTGCAAAACGCTGCATTAAATAACTATGTCAGTAGACAAGTTCTGGATGCTTTGGTTCTGTCGCAGCTGGATTATTGTTTGGTTATATGGTCGAGTGCTGCTGAAAAAGATTTAAACAAACTACAAGTAGCACAAAATAAGGCAGCACGATGTGCACTGCAGTGCTCCTACAGCAGGGGTTCCCAAACTTAGCCATGCCAAGGACCCACATATAGCATTATCGTCTGGCGGGGACCCCCCTGTTGCAATTTTTTTTTTTTAAATGATGAGTACATTATGATGGAGAATATGACAGATTAATCATACAGCTTAATACAGCTTCTGAATATATATTTGTATTAATAATTAATAATCAGTTATTCTTCTAAAAAATGTTTGTATTTATCTTTTGTTTGTCATTCATTACATTGATTGTGTGTTCTGTTATACACATTCTTAACACAATATTAAACAGTAATATCAACAGTAAACATATTTTTAAAGCATTTTTAAAGTGATTTCTGTCTTATAATATGATATAGGTTGACTGTTGGTGACAGGGACATTCAGTGTTGCGGCCCCCACCCTCTGGAATGCACTTCCTGCCGAGATCCGTAATGCTGCCTCCCTGGACATCTTCAAATGATCACTAAAAACACACCTGGTCACCCTGGCCTTCGGGCCCGAGCCCTTTTCTGGTCCCCTGGCTTCCTTTATTTATTTATTTGGTTTGCCCGTTGATTGTCTGTTTGTTTTGTTTGTCCACCATGTACAGCGACCTTGGGTCCCTCTAAAGGCGCTATATAAATATCATTTATTATTATTATTATTATTATTATTATATAATTTTGAACAGTAATATGAACAATTAACATATTTTTTGCATTTTGAAAGCTACTTATGCCTTAATAATATTATATATAATATTCAACAGTAATATTAACAATAAACATATTTAAATTCATATATATAAACATCAATATTTGCTACATCCGTGCTCTCATCCGGCTGCAGAGCGAAATATTCACTAGCTCTCACTTGCTCCAAAAGCTGAGCAGATACTCAGTTTCACTCTCAGTAGCGGCAGCTCGATTCTGATTGGCTTAAAGGGCGGTCGTGAGATTTAAAAACAATCAAATAAAATATGAATAAATAAAAAATATTAAAAAATTGGCATCAAAGGAGGACACATAGATTGATAGATATGCAGTTATTAATAACATCTAAAAAATAAAAAATGGAACTTTAAAAAAAAAAAAAGATTCCCCTTTCCCTCAAACTTTGCGTGACCCCCCTGGCGGCCCCCCGGGGGGTCGGGGCCCCCACTTTGAAAAACACTGTCCGACAGAACCAGAGTCACTGAAATGCTGGAGACACTGAAATGGTTAACTGTCAGACAGAGGTCAACTTATATTTTATTAATGTTGTCAGAAATATTACAGTGACTCACTCACCAGATATATTATCACAAAGGTTTATAGCGCAATATGCACAACATAACTATCAAACACGACATACAGTAGAAGGAAGGTTTGTATTACCCAAAGCTAAATCAAATATGGGACAGAGAACAGTCCAGAGCCATGATCAGCTGGAACTCTTCACCGGTTCATTCAGGAACATTCTCAAGTACATTTCAAAAGGTTGCTAAAAAATTATTTAAGTATTATAAAGTACATTTGAACTGTGGCTATGTATGCATATATTATTATGTACACTTATTTGTATTTACTTTTGTTTGGCCTTAGGATGGCCATAATTGATGACCATTTTAGTTTTCACTTCACATGAAATGATGAGCTGTTTTGTTTTAATTTTGTTGTATGTATGTTTATGTATGTTTTGAGCAGTGTTGGGGCTAACGCATTACAAGTAACACGTTACTGTAACGCCGTTACTTTTGGCAGTAACTAGTATGCTAACGCATTACTTTTTATATTCAGTAACTCAGTTACCGTTACTACATGGTGCGTTACTACGTTAGTTTTTTTATATAGTCAACAGCCAGGCGAACAGAGATGAGAACTGTACTTAAGTACAGTACTTGAGTAAATGTACTTAGATACTTCCTGTGTCACATGCGGAGACGGGCTGTGGGCGTGTTTGTGTTGTTTACTAACAAGACTATCATGGCGGCGGCGGAGCTCAAGTCTAGTTTCTCCACCTGGAGATATTCTCACTATTTCACTTTTGTCGAGCACAAAGAAAATAAAGTTTTAGTTACATGTAAGTTGTGTCTTGGCGGGTCAAAGATCCTATCTACTGCCCAAACCAGTCATTCAAATCTCTTAAAACATCTGCAAAAACAACATGCTGGGACGAAGCTAGTAGCTAAGACCACAGAGACTCAGCCGACGCCACTCCACCTCCACCTAAGCAACAGCGGCTGGATTTTAACCAAGGGACTGCTAGGCCAGGGAAAAGTCGGATAAAGCCATTGCACGGTATGTTGTAGAACACATGCAGGCTATTGCTACATTGGAGTCACCCGCTTTCAGGGAGCTAGTTAGCATGATAGCATGTCCGGGCGGCACACGGCATATGGGACGGAAAACTTTTTCCAACTACCTGGAGAAAGAATATACAAAAATGGAAAGCCAGCTAATATCGATGCAATCCAGATTGCATATAATGCATGTCAAGTTGATCAACAGATTGTATTATTCTGCAATGCAATAACAGTACTGAAATGAAGGCTATAAGGGCATTAATGGGAGCCATTTTTGTAAGTAACTAAAACGTTACTTTTCATAGTAACGCATTACTTTTGGGTGTAAGTAACTAGTAAAGTAACTGAGTTACTTTTGACATGAAGTAACTAGTAATGGTAACTAGTTACTGGTTTTCAGTAACTAGCACAACACTGGTTTTGAGTGTGTGAGGACCCCAGGAAGAATAGCCAATGCTCATGCTAGTGCTAATGGGGATCCTAATAAAGACATAAAGAACACGATCACATGGGACAGAAGTTGTTGTGATCGTAACTTGCAGACTTCCAGTATCTTAATAGTAGTACAAAAACATGTGTTGTATTCCCGTCACACTATGGTCTCTAGTGTAATCAGATTCTTACCATAGTTGCAGGACACCTGCAGGTCGGAGATGACCCTCAGGAGGTTGTTCATCTTGTTGGTCCGCTGCTCCGTCTCGATGATGCTGTCTGAAGCAGGATAGGCTGAGTCGATGTAGATCATGTCCAACAGGTAGATCCCTGCAGGAGACAAGACACCACATGAGCGATGAATCAGATGTAAACACACCCATTCCTTTTAATGACAGAACATCTGGATTTGGGACACGTTACGCACGCACTGACACATGTTGTTACTGTTACACACTGGGGCTTTCATGACTCGAATAACAACAGCAGATCAGTAATGCATGAATAAACAGAGCAAGCTTGTAAGTCATACAGGTAGTTATATGTATAATACTGTACATCTGTAATACATGTACTTTTTCTGTGTCTTTACAAAAGATAATTCACGCTGAAGGGTTGCATGTCTGATTTCTTGCGTCTAATACCAGAACAGGAGGAAAAACCACACAAACACATCAAATAATAATAATCCTTATATTTATTATAGCGCTTTATCAAAGACTCTCAAAGCGCTTTACAAATACACATTACACATACAGATCATACATGTAATGGTCATCTACTGTGGACTATACCCACAGGAGCAAATTCGGGTGAAGTGTCTTGCCCAAGGACACAACGGCCTGACGCAGTGGGGCGGGAGCGGGTTTCGAACTGGAGTTCCCCAACGCCCCCTTAATCTGATGATCAAACGCACAGACCACTGCGCCACCCGCCCCTCAAATGTATCGTTTACCTGGAAAACATCACTTTAGTCTCACACTTTCCTATAATTTGTCTTAATTACTGTGTATATACAGTTACTAAATACCAGACAGGAAACTCACTCTGAGCCTCACCGGGGCGAACCACACTTTTTGAATAAATAAACACAGAATATGAAGTTACACACCAAATGGTTTTGTAAAATGTCCAACATATTACCGTTAAAAACCACAGCACAGGAATAAAACTATGATTTCAGATGTTTGCATAGATTAACTCATTCTGTACGAGGTGGTCGGACATCTGCATTTACAGTACATCTTTCCTTTGGCAGGATTACAAGTCAAATTAGAAATCAGACCTGGTTTTCCAAGGGTACTTTTGGTTAGCTGTACTCCAGTCCAGAGGGAGCTGTTCATACATCAGACAGAAGCTGTTTAGTAACTGGCAGGCAAAATATGTTTAGCAGTGATCTAACAATTAACAGCTTGCTGGCTAACAGCTTTCCAAAAACTCACACCAAAACATCCTATTTCTCATGTTCAAGCGAGACAAAAGGCTTCACAGACTCTCTCTCGCCCACACATTATTCATTACACTACACCATCTTGGTTTCTGCATGGTCCCATGTGTTGAAATGGCTGCAGGGCTAATTAAGCATAGCGGTGTAACTTTAGCTGCCATTATCACAGAGGCTCCAGACCTACAGCGGTTACTTCCAGTGACTGCTTACAGAGACATTGAAGGAAAGATTATGTATCGAAGAAGGATTCATTTCTATGAATGGGTTTAAATTCAGGATTTTGTGGTTGTGTGATCGCTTACTCGTTTTGAATTCATGTTTTTGTAGTTGTGTGTGAGTTTTGTGAGAAATCCTAAGCTCTGCGCCCTACAGCACACTGTACACCCACGCCTTTCCACACATACGTGGATGAAGTGATTGTGAAAGCTTGTTTTATATTTCATTCCGTTTTGCTTCGGTTTAAATTGTATTACAGACACATCATTACTGACTGATGATGCATCATTTGTAGCTGAAGTTTCAACGGTAGTAGACTATTCCACTTGAGAGTTCCAGGAATTTTCAAAGATGGAAACTTTCCACGGGAATTAACGGGAATTTATGGGAATAAACGGGAATGTTCTAAATTGAAGGTTGGCTCTTCATAGGGAACTTAAATGTAGTTGGGGAAAATATATTTGAGCATAATCTTGACTAAAACAAACAGATGCCATTCAAGTACACTTGAATATCCATGCCATAGCACACTGCTCACTGCATGGCTATTGAGACCACGCAAAGGTTCGCAACAGGCTCACAAATGTGAGAGTGGAAAAACTGGTTGGCATTCGGGCAAACCTAAGGCTCTCTGAGCCGGACACAGAGCCATCCTCAACCAGGCTGGACAGTGACACTGAAGAGGAAGAGGAAGAGTTGGATGTTGATGAGGCCCAGGAAGAGCCCGTTGACTGAAAGGGTTTAGCCAAAATGCAGAGGATCGCTTGAGGGAAGATTTGCATATTTAATGGGACATGTTGGAGGGAGAGGGGCTCTTTTCATTTAACATTTTGAATGGGACTTTGTGGGGATTTTTGGATGAGAGGTGGATTTTTGTTCATTTTTTAATGAGTGGGGTTGGGGGGGATGAGTAATATTTAACTCAACATTCCTGTGTTCGTTCTTCAATGAAACAAATAGTTGTTCAATAAAATAAGTCAAACTTGTTCTGTTCTACTTAAAAAAATAAATCTGTTGAAATGTCATGTTTTTTTGTTTAACTTTGCATCGAATATTTCCAAAATTCCCCAGCTTAACTTCCCATGGAAACTTTCCGTAAATTTACCAGAAACTTTCCGCCCCTTTGCAACCCTACTTGAGAGCCAGGCTCTGATGCAGTTTATCAGATAATACAATTACATTACATCTATCTGACACTTATCCAAAGCGACTGACAGTAAGTGCAATAAACCATAATGATTCAAACTAAGGACATCAAGAGAAGTGCTGACATTCACAACAAGCAAGACCATTGCAATTGCTGGTGCATAAGTTGAACTCTTAAGTTCTTAAGTCTTAAGCCATTCAAATGTGTAATGGCCAAGGTACAAGCTATAAGATACTCAATAAATAATCAATAGATTCAGGTTGTTTCTCTGTGGGAATCTCCAACTGTGTGCGTTCAGTTTGATAAGTAGAGAGCAGATGTAGAAGCCCTACAGACCCATATCTCCCAAACAGGGAATACGTTATTGCAATTGTAAATCATGTTTGGGACCAAACACCAAGCAGCTGTCACCAAGACATGATGCTAAATTGTGTAAGAATGTACAGTGGGAGCACAAGTTACAAAGGCCTCTCCTGGCTTATGGAAACTAGGAAACACACACCTTCAGGGCTCCTTTTAACATTTACCAAGACTTTACTGTGCACAAGGCTACCATAAGCTGAGGTTAATTTAACAGGAGGTAAGAGATGTAGGAATCCTAAGTGGGCAGTATGTATTGGCTCCAGATCACTGAGCTTCTCTGGTGAAATACCCATTACCTCAGTTCTTCCATTAGGCAGTGCGTGTCTCATGTGGTGGTAACCATGCACTGGAGAACATTATTACAAATATCCACTCATGCATCGTTATGATTTAAGTGGAGGACTGGCAGAGTTTAAATCTACACAAGTACCAACTACATGTTAATTAATATCAGCTGTAGTTGGTTGGTGGGCCACACATGTAGAATGAACTAAGTAAAAAAGGTGTAAATAGGGTTCTGTTTATAATGACTTTAAAGGGGACCTATCATGCAAAATGCACTTTTGTACGTCTTTTATACATGAATATGTGTCCCCGGTGTGCCAGGGAACTCACCAAGTGTCAGAAAACACAACCCTCTCTCTTTTCCTCCATACCCAACTCTCTAAAAACGGGGCTGCAACAGATCTGATACAGACTGATACAGATTTGAAATTGTTCTGACGTCAGAAACGGGGTGCTCCGCCTATATGGGCAACTCTCCACCTATCAGGGGAATGAGAGGTTGCGTGGCATGGTAACAGCATGGTAAGAGGATGGTAACAGCATGGTAACAGCATGGTAAGAGGATGGTAACAGCATGGTAACAGCATGGTAACATGACGCTCGTGCCTCGCCCCCCCTCCTTTGCAGGGGGGTGTGGTCAGCTGCAGCTCATTTGCCATAGAATCAGCCCTTGTGAAGACAGGGCTGGAATAGAGCAAATAGAGCGAAATGAGGCATGGCTAAAATCCATAATCTGTTTGGTATTTTGAAAAAAAAACTTCACAGACATGTTTTATATAGGTATGGCCCGACAATATATTATTGAAATATAGCATGATAGGTCCATTTTAAGTTAGGCTGGAGGGCTGGATTACCAACACGTCAATATGGTACCCAATGTTGAAGCCCTGTGTTGTGAATGGGCCTTTTGTCAAGGCCTAGTTAAAAAACTTAATTACTGTTTTTTAATATCCCTTTCCTCTGCACAGCCCACTTTTCTCAAATATCACGTTTGGTTGAATGGTACCAATGATGTATTGGGCAACTTTAATCAAGCCTTCCTGTCCTGGGCTGAGCATTATTCATGCCAGTTTTTAAAGGTTTCCAGTCAGGATGCATTCCATTGAGATAAACAAGATTTTTCTTTTATAAGAACTTGGCAAGGATATTCACTTTACAAAGTTTCCTTAAGAAATTCAGCTATTTCTGAGCTATATTCACCAAGATGGAGATGTGTGATGATCAATTTGGCAGTAAGTCGTTCTCTAAACACCTGTCTGAAAGGTTGTTTATTTCCTCTCAATGATGGTAGTGTCATCTGAAATGTTGCAAGGATTCTCTTCATGTTGAGAGCTGCAGTCATGTGTGCACAGTGTAAACACGAAGGGTCCGAGTACATAGCCCTGAGGGACTCCGGTGTTCAACACTTTATTGGAAGAATCTTAATAAAACTGCTAATTTTCACACATGTCAGTTATCCTTTAAATCCAAGGAAGAACACCAAGTATACTTAACAGAAAGACATCTGCAGAGGGCACGAAGCCAGTTTGAGTCATCAACTTGAGAATGGATTTAAGACGTTTAATCTTCTTGATCTGGGTCATATGAGGGAAGAAATTAGTTGTCAGTCTATAATTTAACTTTAAACGTACATTTATTGATCCCATTGCATCCATTAGGAGTTAACCTCCACATTGGCCAGCTCATAACAATAAACTCAAACACGAAAATTGAGTTTCACACTTGTTAAATACTTTATCACCCCATGTATTAATATCTACTCTTGTAAAACATTACGGCTAGCAGGCCTTGTTCATTCCATAAGCATGTGTTTAAATTGGACTCTCTTCAGACAGCAGTTTTACAATCATTTCTCGCTTATTTCATCTCAGT